CAGTCTGGCCTGAGAGATGTTCTTCTCCAGATGACAGTGGAAGGAAGAATTGTGATGTATGCATGCTGATGAATGAATGAATATATTTGTGAATGCTGAGTGAAAATGTAATCCCCCCTTTTTTTGTTTATTAGCCAATGTAACTGTAAGATGTTTGTTAATTCAATGTAGTTACATAGACTCTATATACCTGTATGTCTAATGTAGTTCTTTGTCTAAATGTTGTTCTGTAAAAGTTCTGATATCCTTTCTCTTACTGGAAAATTGCCATAAAAAGAACCTATAGTTCAAAGTTATTGAAAAGTTATTCATAACATCAGCACCAACTGGGCACCTCTTAGGGAAGAGAATATGACAACCAGGACACCATAACAAGTAAAATCCTACTTTATATTTCCACATTATGTATTACAGGAGGGACATAGAAGAACCTCCATGATGTATATCAGTGCTCAGGTAGGTCTGGATAGGGAATTCTTCTGTGGGAAGCCGATGATGTTCCTCCCTGTAACATGCAGCATACTAAGCAGGTTGCCTCCATTCATCAGGCTGTAAATGTAAAGCAGAATATATCTTTCAAACAATTACTCAGATAAGAACTTGGTCCTCCACAAGTAAAAGCATGTAAATGTCTATGATATATTACATTTAGGTTCTCTACAGATGCTTTTGGATAATGCTTGGCAACTCCTGTTCGGGAGTGTATGGTACTGTTGATTTTTTTCCCTCCAGGCTAAACATACCAGTTCCTTACAGGGCTTGAGTGAGGAAGCACTATGCAGACTTGGCTTCAAAGCAGTCAATTATGGCTCAAGGAGGCTGTGAAGAAGTGCTGCAGGGGAACAGAATGTATCAAAAGGCAAAGGCTTGCCTCTGAGGAGATTCAAACAGGGTTTGAAGCTGACAGGGTGTTGAGATGACACAGGCAGGGGTTTGAGATGATAAAGACAGTGTTTGGGTTCAGATAAAAAGAGAGAACTACCTAGACTACTAGGAGTTCTAAGGAATAGAGTTGAATATATTTTCTAGTTTGTTCAATAAACCAATTCATATTTTTTGTTTTAAACCTGTCCCTGGCTGTCTGTCAAGTTTGAATAAGAGTCAGGCCATGCATATCAAACCCACTCTACAGCACAGCTACAAGTCCGCATTTAGTGGTCACCCTGAAGACCCACAAACAAATGCAGCAAGGGAATAATTGGATGAACAAGGGCAAGGTGAATGACAGGATTCCCAGGGATTGTGGTTGTGGGGTCAACCTGGGTAAAGGGATCTGTCACAGACTTTTTGCCAATTTCAGTCATCCTTCCCTGGGCATAGTCCACCTTTCTCAGAACTTTATCACAAAAGGTAGTAAAAATCAATTGCACTAGGATAATAGTGTCTGTAACTGGTACTGATCACATGTCATTCTGTTTCTCCCATTGCTGCTTTGCATTTAAATTGTTGGTGAGGCACATCTTTTCACTGACAAGTAAAAACCCAACAATGGCTCCCAATATCACTACTTGAGTGAGTACCTGTAATTCTCCAATTCTCCACCACTCCATCCTTCCATCCCCCTTTCCCATTGCTTTTTCTAAGTAGGCTGGGTTCATTTTATCTACAGAATAGTGAACTTCAGGGAAGGGCAATGGAGGCTTAGCAAAGTTAGCACGTTTCATACCACCTTGAACCATCCCTTTGTAAATCCCTCTTGGGCCAATTGCTTCAAAGTTCCTTCTACCCCTGACCACCAGAAGTGGGGCATTCAAATAGAGAGAAAAAGACAGAAAGGGGCCCATGTCTGCCTCTCCCAACACTTTTTTAAAACTCTTTTTTTAAGTTGGAAGGACTGATTTTGAAAAGCCTACAAAAAAGCCAGAGTAGAGCACAGGAAGAGAAGAGAAGACATGAAAAGAGAGAAGCAAAGGATGAAGGCACAACAGTGCAATTTCAGACAGATATGATCATTTTCAAAGTTACATTGCCAGTATGTTCCCATTTTCTTCAGCAATGTGATTGTGGCGAGGCTCGTGTGATGAAGTCCTGATTCTATGGTGCACTGAACTGGACTTTGTACATCAGTTGACGTCTGACTAAAGGAGTTGGTGTGCTACAATTACTTATATATGTCAATATAGCCTCAAGTTGCATTAGCTTTTTTATACTATTTATTATTTATTTATTTATTTATTTATTTACATCACTTATATCCCGCCCATATCAGCCCGCAGGCGACTCAGGGCGGTCTACATATCGGCACAATTCGATGCCATCAATACAATACAAAAGCAAAAACAATTAAGTGCATTTAGACAAAAAAGACAGTGCAATAACAATTTTAAAAGAGCTATATCCTCTCATTCCAATCCTCATCCGTTTCATCGTCTTGGCCGTTCCTGGGTCATTCTCCATCTCAAGCTTGACTATCTATTCCGGGGTTCCGAATGCTTGCTCGAAGAGCCAGGTTTTTACTTTCTTCCGGAAAGTCAGGAGGGAGGGGGCTGATCTAATATCCCTAGGCAGGGAGTTCCACAGCTGAGGGGCCACCACAGAGAAGGCCCTGTCCCTCGTCCCCGCCAAGCAGACGGGATCGAGAGCAGGGCCTCCTCAGATGATCTTAACTTCCTGGAGGGTTCGTAGGAAGAGATGCGTTCGGATACGTAGGCTGGGCCGGAACCGTTTAGGGCTTTATAGGCTAAAGCCAGCACTTTGAATTGAGCCTGGTAGCAAACTGGCACCCTACCACACTACTGACTCCTGCTAAGCTTAAGATTGTTGTCCAAAATCTTGGGCTCTTTCCCAGTGTGCAGCAGCTCCAAATCAGCCCAAACAGATTCACACAGCAGAACGGAAATCAGTTTATTCAGTTCTGGTCAGAGTGGACACTGGGAACAATTTTCCAATCCAGTGTGGTTTCAAGATACAAGCATGGGCATTATACAGAAAAACATGCACATCTGGTGACATGACAAACCAAGGAAATTGGGGGACCTTTTAAGATTCCCAGTGTCATTGGGCAAAAGGCCTTGTCTGTTCCTGACTGCTGGTTGCCTAGAAGTTTAAACATCTGTGACTCACAGTTTTCAATTGGCTAAGCAGTCTGGCAGGAATTTCAACAAATTGCCACTGGTTGCATTTGAAGCTTATCTGTTGCTTGTTGTGTCTGCCTATGTGGGAGGGTCCAGGAATAGAATTTGGGCATCGCTGAGAGATAACAGACCCTTGAGGAGATTATCTGAGGCTACAGTTCCCAGGATTTGGGGTGATGGGATTCCCAGGCACTCTGATGGGTCCTATGATTCAAAGGCAATGTGTGATTAGGTGCCCTAATGGGTGACCTAAAGGTGACCTAAAGCTTAGAGAAGATAATGATGCTAGGGAAAATAGAAGGAAAAAGAAAGAGGGGCCGACCAAGGGCAAGATGGATGGATGGTATCCTTGAAGTGACTGGCTTGACTCTGAAGGAGTTGGGGGTGATGACGGCCGACAGGGAGCTCTGGCATGGGCTGGTCCATGAGGTCACGAAGAGTTGGATGCGACTGAACGAATAAACAACAACAAAGCGTTAGAAATTAAATTGTACTGTTTCTCAGATCCCATCACACCTTGTTCCTTCTTGTCTTTTCTCCTGAAAGCATTCATTTTCACATTTATCACACAAGCAAAACCAGTCTCATCCCACTTTTTTTAAAAAAGCGTTAAGCAGCTAAGGGGGAAAAGGAAAGGGCTTGAGGCTGTTAGGAATTGTGGGAGTTGAAGTCCAAAACCCCTGGAGGGCCTAAGTTTGCCCTTGCCTGGTCTATACGATTACAACTATGTGCATTCTACAAAGGTACAATATAGTTGTAGTTAAAGTCCAAAATACCTGGAGGGCCCAAGTTTGCACATGACTTGTATAGATTGTAGTAGCTTATTTTGTGGAATGCTTGCTTGTATGTTTTGTGGAATGCTTGCTTGTATGTTTGAACTATGTCTTTTAGTTGACTTTTGATATGTGTTTGGTGGAGCCTTAAAGCCCTTCCACACAGCCATATAACCCCGATTATCAAGACAGAAAGTCTCACAATATCTGCTTTGAACTGGATTATCTTGAGTCAACATAATCCAATGGGGTTTTTTATTCAGCTGTGTGGAAGAGGCCTTAGTATTCACAAATCTTAATACAAATTTATATATCAATATTAAAAAAACTAGCCATCCCCTGCCACGCGTTGCTGTGGCCCACATGGGGTTCTGTGTGGAAGGCTTGTCCCAATTCTGTCACGGGTGGGGTTAATAATAATAATAATAATAATAATAATAATAATCCTTTATTTATAACCCGCTACAATCTCCCGAAGGACTCGGTGCGGTGTACAAGAGGCCGAGACCCAATACATCTGGTTCAGAATGCTCTGTGATTGTAGGTGAACTATACATCCCAGCAACTACGACTCCCAAATGTCAAGTTTCTATATTCCCCACACTCCACCAGTGTTCACATTTGGGCATATTGAGTATTTGTGTAGAGTTTGGTCCAGATCCATCATTGTTTGAGTCCACAGTGATCTCTGGATGTAGGTGAACTACAACTCCAAAACCAAAGGACACTGCCCACCAAACCCTTCCAGTATTTTCTGTTGGTCATGGGAGTTCTGTGTGCCAAGTTTGGTTCAATTCCATCGTTGGTGGGGTTCAGAATGCTCTTTGATTGTAGGTGAACTATAAATCCCAGCAACTGCAACTCCCAAATGACAAAATCAATTTTTTTGAGTGAAGGACATACATTGGGTTGTTAGGTGTCTTGTGTCCAAATTTGGTGTCAAATCGTCCAGTGGTTTTTGAGTTCTGTTAATCCCACAAACGAACATTACATTTTTATTTATATAGACTACTAGTGGGAGAACCCAACAGGATCCGCCATGGAGCCGCCTTCCCTTCTCCTACAGAGCGCGGCCATTTTTGACTCTTCCCCCTCCTCTCTGCTAAAGCCGCTCCTAAACCGGGCTGTGCCCAACCGCGCATGCGCGTCCCGCAGAGGGCGGCGCAGTCCTCCAAGCCGCTTGGAGTCGCTCTCTCTCCCTCCCGCAGACCCTGCGCGAGGCCTCGCCTCCTCCTCCTCCTCCTGCTGCCCCCTCCCTCCCTCCCTCCCTCGCGCCCATCCATGGGGTTGCCGAAGTGGGAGGGGGTCGTGGAGGGCGTTTCCCCGGTCGCCGCGCGGCGTCACTCCCAGCATGCAGCGCGGCCCGCTCCTGCCGCCGCCGCCGCGCCTGTCACCGCCGCCTCCTCCTCCTCTGCTGCCGTCACTTTCGCCGCCGCCGCCGGCGCCGCGGGGCTGGGAGACATGGCGGAGGGAGGCGCGGCGGACCTGGAGACCCAGCGCTCGGACATCACGGCGCTGCTCAAGACGGCCCTCCGCAAAGGCGACACCTGGTGAGGCGAAGAGAGAGGGAGAGGAGGGGAGGAAGGGCGGGGGTTGGAGGGCCCTCCTGAGTGACAGGTGCGCGCAACTCCTCCTGCTGCTGCTGCCGCCTTTTCCTGGTTGCTGAGGGAAGCACTCCTCCCTTCCTCTAAGGGAGGAAAAGGGCTTACCTTGCTGCCAGGTGGGAGGCTTTGGGGCTCCCCATTTCCCGCCCCGCCCCCATCCTCCCGCTCTCAGGAGGGCCTGGCTCACCCCATTGCTTCAAACGGGCCCCGGAGCAGGGTGGCGTGAGGAAATGCGTCTGTTGTGCTGGTGTGTTTTCTAGGCAAGGCTTCTCAGCCACAGCCTCCCCTCCCACCAGTAGCTTCCACACTGAGGCCTGTGTTGCCGGAAAGGGCCCTCTCACACTCTCTAGGGTGGAGTATCCCTCACCCAAGGATGGAGAACGAATGCAGTTCGACACCCATGTAACTGCCATGGCTCAAGGCTCAGCTGTCATTAAGGCTAGGGTTATGTCAAGGCAGAAAATCTCACAGTATCTGATTTGGACTAGTGGGCCTTCCACACAGCCCTATCTCCCAGAATATCAAGGCAGGAAATCCCACATTATCTGAGTGGGGACTCAAATATCCCAGTTCTAAGCAGATACTGTAGAATTTTCTGCCTTGATATTCTGGGATATGGAGCTGTATGGAAGGGCCCTCAGAATATCCAGGCAGAAAATCCCACAATATCTGGTTTGAACTAGGGGCCCTTCCACACAGCTCTATATCCCAGAATATCAAGGCAGGAAATCCCACATTATCTGAGTATGGACTCAGATATCTCAGTTCAAAGCAGATATATCCGCAGTTTGGGAGTCCTCTTGGATTCATCACTTACGCTTGAGGCTCAGGCTTCAGCGGTGTCCGGGAGGGCTTTTGCACAATTGAGATTCGTGCGCCAACTGCGACCATACCTTGTAAAAGCTGATCTGGCCAGGGTGGTCCATGCCTTGGTCACCTCTAGATTGGACTACCGTAATGCGCTCTTCGTGGGGCTGCCCTTGAAAACAGCTCGGAAATTTCAGTTAGTCCAACGGGCGGCGGCCAGGATGTTAACTGGTACTCCTTACAGAGAGAGGTCAACTCTCCTGTTCAAGGAGCTCCATTGGCTGCCGTTCATTTTCCGGTCCCAATTCAAGGTGCAGGTGCTCACCTACAAAGTCCTAAACGGTTTGGGACCTGCCTACCTGCATGACCACATCTCCGTTTATGAACCCACGCGTTCTCTTCGTTCATCTGGAGAGGCCCTGCTCGCGATCCCACCTGCGTCGCAGGCGCGTCTGGTGGGGACGAAGGACAGGGCCTTCTCTGTGGTGGCCCCCCAACTTTGGAACACCCTCCCCAAGGACATCAGACAAGCCCCTACACTGGCAGTCTTTAGGAAGAGTTTGAAGACCTGGCTGTTCCGGTGTGCCTTTCCAGAATAGGAAACTCCAGCAATATGTCCCAGAAGCACTTTATCAGAGATTTAAGATTGCCTGCATATTGCACTTACCCTAAAATCCTACATTTCACCTGTCATACTCAGCACTTTTTAATATGTACCCATTACATTCGGCCCGGCCCTAGTTTTTTGTGTTATGGTGTTTTGTTTTTATTGTTTACTGTTATTGCTTAATGTTTTGATTTGCTTTATAATGTTATGTGTATTGTTATGCTGTTGTTTTTATTGAGGCCTTGGCCTTTGTAAGCCGCATTGAGTCCTTCGGGAGATGTTAGCAGGGTACAAATAAAGTTAATCATAATCATAATAATAATAATATTGTGGGATTTTCCTCCTTGATATTCTGGGATATAACGCTGTATGGAAGGGCTCTCAGAGTATCCAGGCAGAAAACTCCACAATATCTGCTTAGAACAGAGTCCACCCTGCCATTTGTTACATCCCAAATAGATTACTGCAACGCACTCTACATGGGGTTGCCGCTGAAGACTACCCGGAATCTCCCAACTAGTCCAACGCTCAGCAGCCAGGTTGCTCGCGAGAGCGCACAACCCCCCTGTTACACCAGCTCCACTGGCTGGCGATTAGCTTCCGAGCACAATTCAAAGTGCTGGTTTTAACCTATAAAACTTTACACGGCCCAGTTTACCTCTCTGAACATATCTTCCCCTATAAACCATCAAGGACTTTAAGATCTTCCATAGAGGCCCTGCTCTCCATCCCACCACTTTCGCAGTTATGCTTGGTGGGGACAAGAGACAGGACCTTCTCTGTGGTGGCCCCCCGGCTATGGAACTCTCTCCCCAATGAGGTTAGGTCTGCCCCCTCCCTCCTGACCTTCAGGAAGAAACTGAAATCCTGGCTTTGGAATCAGGCATTCGCAGATTGATGGATTGACTGGTAAAGACTAAGAGTTATTGGACCACAATGTTTGGATTGAGTTGGATGATGTTTTTAACTCAGCGAACCGTCTTTTATATGTATTTTATAACTTATTTATTATGTACGTTGTTTTTAAAATGTTATTTATTGTTTAGCATTGAATTTTTGCTGCTGTTAGCCGGTTTGAGTCCCTCCACAGAGGTAGAGAAGAACGGGATATAAAAGTTCTAAATAAATAAAAATTAATAAAATATAATCCAGTTCAAAGCAGAAAATGTGGGAATGCGTGCCTTGATATTCCAGGTTATATGGCTGTGTGGAAGGGCCCTGGGTTATCTGGGTCTTCCCTGCCATATATTCCAGTTCAAAGCAGATAATGTGGGATTTTATTCTGCTGTGTGGAAGGGACCCTAGGGCCCTTCCACACAGCCCTATATCCCAGAATATCAAGGCAGAAAATCCCACAATATTTGCTTTGAACTAGATTATATGGCATTGTGGACTCAGATAACCCAGTTCAAAGCATATATTGTGGGATTTTCAGCCTGAATAATCTGGGTTATGTGGCTGTTTGGAAGGGCCCTAGACAAGAGCATGGGTCCACTTTCAATCCGGTGTCTGTCTCCTGCAGAATTCTGGGGCTTGTAGTTTAGGGGGGCGGCTTTAAACTACTCATCCACAGAGGTCCTGGACCTCACTATTTATTTATTTATTTACTTTACTTGTATACCGCAGTTTCTCAGCCTAACCGGCGACTCAACGCGGTTTACAACAAGGATAAAATCAATCACGATATACAATTTAAAACCACAAGAGCACAATATACAATATTACACAACAATAACAACGCAATGCATCTCATAACTAGAGTCGTGATCCAGATTCGTCGTCCATATTTCCATTCCTGTAATCGTCACATTCATTGCACTGATTAACCAAATGCCTGTTCAAACATCCAAGTTTTTAATCTTCTTCGGAACACTAAACTACAAACTCCAGAATTCTGAATGAGGCAGAAACTGAATTTAAAGTAGATCCGTGCTGTAGTTCAGGCATGGGCAAACTTCAGGCCCCTGGCTGTTAGGAATTGTGGGAGTTGAAGTCCAAAACACCGAGAGGACCGAAGTTCGCCCATGACTGCTCTAGTGTGATGAGGCTGTCATGGTGCATCTGTGTTGTAGAATGAACTTTTAACACCTTTTGAATGGCCAAGGCTCAATGCAATGGAGTTATGGGATTTGTAATCTTGTAGACCCCACTCTGACTTGGCACAATGCTTGGCTTAGGGTGCATTCGTGTTGTGTAGAATAAATGCACTTCAACACCACTTGAACGGCCAAGGCTAAGTGCAGTGGGATCATGGGATTTGTAGTCTTGTAAGATCTTCCCTGACATCACTCTGACGGCCCTGGATCAATGCTTGGCTTAGGGTGCATCTGCGTGGTAGCATGAATGCCCTTCAACACCACTTGAATGGCCAAGGCACAATGCAATGAAATTATGGGATTTGGAGTCCTGTAAGGTCTTCCCTGACACCACTTTAACTGCCATGCCTCAGTGCTTGGCTGTCATTGTGTCTTAGGGTGCATCTGTGTTGTAGAGTAAATGCACTTCAACACCACTTGTACTGCCAAGACTCAGTGCTAAGGAACCTTGGGATTTGTAGTCTTACAAGGCCTTCAGCCTTCTCTGCCAAAGAGTGCTGGTGCCTCGCCAAACCGCAGCTTCTATGATTCCATAATGTAGAGTTAAAGTGGTGTCAAACTGGGCAATCCACTCCCTGATAGCGGCCCATAACTTTACATTTGGATGGATCCTTCAGTCAGTATCATTTTGGTTTCTGCCACCCTAAAATAACGCTAGGAAACTCATAAGTTGACTTCAAGGCACGCACAAACTCCATTGAAATGAGTTGGAGCTAACTTCTTAGGGTACATATGCACTGTAGAATTAATGCAGTTGGATACCACTGCATATACCACTGGTGTATAAGAAACATCAATGCATTTCATATTTACACCTGGGACCCATCACTTCGAAATCTCATTATAGACCTCTATGTGAATTCTGATATTTCAAAACAAAAACAACCCCCCTCTACTAATTTCCCAAATACTGTTGAATTTTGGAGTGCAACTGCACTGTAGAATGAATATATTTTGACATAATGGCTCAATGCTATATAATCCTGGGAGTTGTGGTTTGGTGTGGCACCAGCATTCCTTGGCAGAGAAGGCTCAAGGCATTATAAAACTAAAGCTCCCATGCTTCCAATAGTATTGAGTCATAACAGTTCAACAGTTCTGCAGTGAGGACATTGATTTCCAGGTGGAAGGTGGTCGCGGTCAGGGTTGGCTTGACGCACCTTCCTCTTGGCACATTTCTCCCTTTCACACCCTATTCGTGCTTCTTCGAATTCTGCAGCAATGACCTCCAGTTAGAAGGATTGGCTGGTGACTGCTGGAAGAGCACTTTGGTTTTCTCAATGTTCAATGAGAGGCTGAGCTTTTTGTATACTTCTGCAGAGGTATTTAGAGTGGCTTGTAGGTAATCTTCTGAATGTACACAGGCTATGTGATCATCAGCATATTGGAGTTTTATAACAGATGTTGTTATGACCTTGGTTTTAGCTTTCAGTTTG